CTATTCTATTCTGTTTTTCGACAGTCTATATTATTTTTATCTTGATTGTTATTTTTACGTAAGTTATAGGAAAAATATGGTGGAAATATGGACATAGTTTTGATTTTAAAGAAAAACTGATGTTTAAAATTGAATAATATTGAATGAAACTATTGACTCTGTCGAAATAATGTTTTAGCACAGACATTTAAAAATACGTACTATTACTCATTAGGATCGTTGTTAAACATACAATTGTTAAAAAATATATTTATTTTTGTCAACACATGTCAAAACAAAAATGCAAATTTTTTCTTAAAATCCCTGTTTATATATTAACTTTGTTTGTATATATATATATACACACATGTATATATTAATTTTGTATAATGTTTTATTTACATACACACATATATATATATATATATATATATATTAATTTTATATTTATATTTTTTTTAATAATAAATGAACACTGCAGTAATTGGAATCGTCGCAGCTGAGTCATTTCGGTATTAAGTTGTATTACGCGATATCAAATATCTGACAAGATTACGATCATCCCTTGGTCAACAAGTAAACTACTTCGCTGATGTAGTCGAGCAATTCTTTCAATCTGGCTCGCTCCTCATAAACGACATCAGACCTTTGACCTAATTCTTGCGACCATGAACGTGTGCATGCGTCATTATACAAGTATCAATGTCGCTGTCACAGAATCATATACAGCGAAAACGTATGGTGATTTCTTTAATTACGAGCATTTGATCTTTTGATCTTTTAACACGCTTAAGATCACTTTGTTGCAACGCACACGTATAGGATAGTTTGATAACGCATACCATGTTATTTTCCTACGTTTTAGAATTTTAAAATGTTTTTTATAAATATTTACTGTTTTACACAAATATACACTATTGTGAGACTTGCGTGTCAAAAATAATAAAATTGATAACTTGAATGGAAAAATAATAGATTAGATTATACGAACTCTCTTTTAAATCTTTTCAATCAAGTTCGTTTGCGCGAAAATCATCGAGAGCTTAACGCTTTTCTAAAGAAATTTATGATTTGCTTTTTGATATCACAAACTTGAAAAAACTTTTAATCCATAAATAAAGAGAAATACTTGGATTAGAAAATCCATTATTGCGTAGAAGCCGATTCTTTAATGTTTTTTTGCTCCCGTTTTACACAAAAAATTCTAATCTAATACGCGAGAGAGATGCAAGATATAAATCTTTCTGTAATTCTCACTAATCGCGTGGCAATACAAAAGTTGTAAGTACAATGTATTGTTTATACCAATCAATTGGTCGTAAATTATATTTAATCAGTAAAAGCAGTGTGTTAAAATCATTTTTTTAATGTAGTTCTTATTTTTGTACTTGTGTAAGATTGAGTTTGATAATTGTATATACAGTTTTTTAAAAAATACAAAAGTTTTGAAACATATAATTTGATTATGTGGAAATACAGATTTTAACGCTTTTGCGTTACTACTAACGGATTTTGCAACAATTGAACACAGCTTTTCTCTGCAGCTTTGGAACGCGTGTAAATTTTCGTGGCAGCGCACATCCGACGCGAATATTACGCGGCTCGCGCGCAGAATGTGACCCTCACATAATTTTTAACGTGTAAAGGGGTCCTCTCTATGCCTCTTATACTTTAGGAGCCTGTTCGAAAGGGCTTCGAGTTCAAGATCGTGTGGTATGCTGAGAAAGTATACGCATCGCTTCGTGTGTCACACCCTTTCTCTGCACTTTTTCTTTTTCTCTCATCCACCTCTACAAGCAACACACACATTCTCACCTCTTTCGAAACTCGATAACCGTTGTTCTTGATCACGCTCTTGAATCGAGAATTTGTAGAAGTTTTCTAGTAACTGGTTACATAAATTACAAACCGTTTATAATTTAGCTCTCGCACTTGTGTGTTAACAATTCTATCTCTATCTAGCTTCCTATGTCTATGTATATTTCTGGCATATTAATTGACTGAAAATATATAATTAAATGAAAAATAATTTAAAAGAAAAGGTAGTTTTGTAATGTGTGTAAATATGTTTGACTCGCTACATATAAATATGATGTACTTACAATATCGTTTCTTGTCAGAATAACCTCGATTGATAAGATAGACAGTCGGTGATGTCATATGTGTGGAAAGAACTGTCACTGTGAATAAACTCGAATTTGAATTATGTCGAGAGTTACAACTTGAGATTTATTTCAATTGTAGTGGTAACGTATCTTTTTTTTTTTAATAAAATTACATAGTTTTGAGATTTTATTTTAGTCCTTTCTATTGAAAAAATATGTAATTATTCTTTTACACAGAACAAATATCCATAGAATTCTTAGTAAACGTTCATTAGATATCGTATGGAGCTGTGAACGTCTATAGACATTTAATAAAGTTTTAATAGACATTTAATGAAGGTTTTGTTTTGTGTGAAATTGTTACACAGATTACAGATGCGTACACAGATTGCGCATACGCGTGTGATATATCGTATTTCATTAATCGGTTTATGATACTTCCTTTTTATTAAACACAATGCCAGAAAATATTAAAAGTAAAATTAAGCAATTTAAATAAAATATCAAGCAATTTTTTGACAAGGACGAAATATTTAATTACGTAAATTCAGGTTGTTGTTTTTTTACGCGAGGCGAAATTTGCGCCACGTTATCGTTACTTCGTCCGCTTCGTGCATAAAAAAAGCACTTACGGTACGAAGTGTCACGCGGCTTTCGCGCGTATGTTAAACTCCCTCGCTTGTCACTCTTTTCACGTTAATGAAATTATCGTGCGCTTACTTAATGTCTAAATATAGTAGCAATCGCGTTCCACATTGTAATGACGGTGACCGCGGTATATATATCGCGTTCTTTAAAAGAAAACACTCTGATATGGTACGGGAATGTTCGCGACTATGCAGAACTTATAAAATACTTACAAAATACTTATACAAAATGAGTAAATAAACGCGTAGAACTTTAATCATGCATCTGTGTCTGTCGGTTCTGTTTCTCTCTTTTTTTTCTCTCTCTCTCTCTCTCGCTCATACATACACATAAATTATTTTTTATAAAATAAAGGAATTGTATCAAATAAAACTTTATATTTTCAATAATAAGTTTTGAAAGCAATTTTGCGAATCTAAAGATATTTAATTTTTTGTAAGATAACTATTTTTTGACACGCGTATTATGACGAGTACAAATATATTCTGAAAGAAACAAACTCTCTAATTATTTAATATTACAATCGCACAATGACTTGATATGTACGTAAAAGGAAGTTTCGAATAAGCAAGATTAATTTCCTGAGAGTTTGAATAACGTTTCAGGTGAAAGTAAATAGTGACTGTAAGCTTGAGAGTTGAGAGTACTTTGTGCACGCGTGAGCTGTGTTACGGTATCGTCCAATTTGCCAACTTCGTGAACTGTGCATAGCATTCGATGCACGGTACGAATACTTGTTAAAGATTATATAGAAAACTGACAATAATGAAAACGCAACATTCCCATTGACAGAAATCAAAGCTGCAAAAGATTTTTAAATTAGCGCAATTAAATCAAAAATGTTAAACACACCAGTTTGAAAGAACTATATAAAATCTTTGTTAGAAAAAAAAAAAAAAGATTGGAGATACATCGCCCTTGTGCATGTGTGCACAAGTGTATTTATGCTTTTTATAGACGATAATGTTTTAAGAGGAAACACACGTTGCGGAAATATTTTCAGGCTGGCATCGAATCGTTTTACAGTGACGCATCGAAAATCTGAAACTGCATCCGCTATAAAAACAATTTTCGATCGACCAGATATCGGATAATATATCATTGTAGCTAAACACGTAAGAAGAGAAAGAAAAAAAACCATACTTGTGACGATTAATTCAGTGTCGATCATTTTTTTTTACTAAATAATATGTTGCAAAGTAAATTATTAACTTCAAAATCTCTCTTCTTCACTACAAAAATTCGAGATTTGATAAAAAATAATATCTTCACACACACGAATAATTGCGGTGCAATGAAAAGAATGAAAACCCAGACAAGAGCGCACAAATCCGAAAGAGATCTTAAAAGATGTTCTTAAAAGAGAACGTCTAAATTATTTTATCTATCTTTTAGATATCTTTACGACGTAAGATTATCTCTCGGACTTTTGTGTTGTCTGGGTAAGTAGGAGGATATCCTTTATATGGCTGACTCTCTCGAAGTGCATCACGCTTCGAGACACCGTATAACTAACGGAATATGCATACTACAGGAAGATGAATGTCGACGATCCCCGTGCTTGGAAACCTCTCCTTTTTAGGCAATCGTATAGGCAGCATAATCGTTTGCCCGCATAGTAACGCGATTGTCGATCACCTTCTTTTTGTGAGCTATTCGATACCTACAATATGTTGTACGTAACACTTAATGTCAAATTCTTCAACAAATTTATTTCTTATCACATCTAAAAATAAATGCTACGATATTTTTAAGTGTTAAAAGAATTATAAGATTGTGATATTGATCTTTTATATCTATACAAGTAAATATAATCAATAGTCATGCAATTTTAATATTGAAAATAAAATCGTGTAATAAATAATCATAAAAACAAATAATTTAATCGAAATAAAAATAAAGTAATTGTTTGTTTGCTGCTCTTTGTCCCCCTTGTGTACCTTCTAATAAGACGTTGCATATACGTATTCACGAAAGAAGATTGCGCGCGTTGCGCCGAAAGAACAACGGGCTAGTATTGCGACGGGTTAGGTCAGTGACCCCGGTAAATGCATCATGTCGCATCCCCTACGTACACAGGATGCGTTACTTGGTACACTGGAATAATATCGCATAATTAATAAATTCTCCGCGTGTATGTTTAATAACGAAGCCGTGTAAACATTGTGCCCTAATGCGACAAAACTCAGTTTTGTCAAAACTACGTATTAAAACTCTGAAAAAAAATAAAATAAAATAACACGAAATTTATTTTGTAATTTATTACAGATCAACAGCAAATACAGCGAGGAACTGGCGCAGGAATGTCTGGAATGGATCAAAACGATCACCGGCGAGAATATAAACACCAGCGGGGACATGGACAACTTTTACGAGATCTTGAAGGACGGCACCCTGCTTTGCAAGTACTTAAACAATCGAAAAACTACATGGCGAAAGATGTGACGTGATACCCGCGAGATCCGTGAATTTTCGATTGTCAAACAGACAAAAGATAATCGAAGATTCGGCGACGTAAAAAGCACTTCTGATAATTGTATTTGTTTTTCACCAGGTTGGTGAATGACATTAAGGAGGGTTCGGTGAAGAAAATTAACAACACAACGCTCGCCTTCAAGTGCATGGAGAATATAAACGCTTTCCTGATAGCTGCAGCACAACTGGGTGTTCCGGCGCAGGAAACCTTCCAGACCGTAGACTTGTGGGAGAGACAGAATCTAAATTCCGTAGTTATTTGCTTACAATCTCTTGGAAGAAAGGTAACAGAACATAATTCTTCGGCAAGCGCGAATGTAGGGCGTAACTTATTGTTAGAATTCGATGTTCCTTTTTTAATCTGTCAGTCGTTTTTCTCTGAAAATGTTGACTCGATCGTATAATTGTTAATATTGATTACATCGTGAAGTGAATAATATTTTATAAAATTTTTCTATATTTGCATTTTTAGGCGGGTAATTTCGGCAAGCCAAGCATTGGTCCCAAGGAAGCAGATAAGAATGTGCGCAATTTTACGGAAGAACAACTGAGAGCCGGTCAAGGTGTGATAAGTTTACAATACGGAAGTAATAAGGGTGCTAATCAAAGCGGCATCAATTTCGGAAACACCAGACATATGTAAACAATTACTTATCGTATATTCTCGCCAGTCGTAACATCGTTCTATTCCCATCTGTCTCTTGAATCCCGCAAACAAGTACTCTTTTAGTTATATCGTATCTCAATATGTGAGTGTTCTCTCATTAAAGTTCAATAAATCCAAGATTAAGGTATATAATAAACGTTGCGCGAGATATTCCGCGCAACATGGGAAGACAACAAGACAAACATGAGATTCTTCTCGAACTAAAAAAAATTGACATATAAGATATAATTTTAGAAACTCGAGAAGCGACTTAATTCTTGGATGCAAAATAGACATTTTTCTTTTTATTCTTTATCAATGACACACATTGATCATGTCGTTTCGTTTTTTGAATGACTTTTTTGTCTACAAAAACAAAGTAGAGAGATAAAATCCTAAGTTATCTCTTGTAGTTCGCTCTCAATCATATATTTATTCATTTATTATTCTTAATATTATTTGGTTAGCAAATTTCTATTGTGAAGCTTTGCATCCAATAATTATAAATAAAAATCGTATCTAGATTCTGTATTAATATGAGTTATTTAATTTTAATTTCAATTTCTATATTTTACGTCACTTTATATTTACTTCGAAAATAATTTTGTGTGTGATAATGATTTAATTTCTATAATTGCTATATACTTTAAGTATATGATGAGGTGAATGTGCTATTTGATGATCGTACGAAGTATTTTATATCCTATTTTTGTTGGATATACAACTCAAAGGAAAGGATCTTTTTATATGTGTATAATACATACATACATATGCCACGTCAATGCGTAACTATTGTGTATTTCACAATTTGTAACACAAATGTGTATATATATATATATATCTCTCTCTCAGATAGAAAACACATACCTGTCACAAAACAAACAAAGATATATATGGTTAAGATCAGCTCAGACAGCAGTTATATTTGTTAAATGTTATAAAAGTATATATATATATATATTGTGTACACTCAATAATGATTTGTTAACTGGGCGGTGCGATATCATGTGTACCAAGTCTAGTCAATGAATCATTGTCGTCGAGTGTTCGATGTGCGGACATTATCGGCTTTGATAGCCACAGCGTTGTCGTTACAAATGGAAATACCTTCTACAATTTACAATTTAATCAGAGATTGTCATATATAAATTGTCATGTTACACATGAGATGATTATCAAATTCTATTAAAATATAATAAATGAGATATATATATAAGTATATATATATATATTAAGAATATTTTGTACAAATATATATTGATGGTTAGAAGCTCTAATTTTTCATAATACACTGATGGATATGAGTTGATAAAAACAATTGTATCCAATAGTGATGTTTACATTAAATGTTACTTATAATGAAACCTCTAATTGTGGTTTTTAATTATTCAGTTATATGTGTGTGCGGTGTATGTGTGTGCGTATAATGTAAAACAAAAAAGATAATACCTGAATACAGATGAATTCTGATGCTGCTCGATAAAATCTTGTTTTTTTTTTTTTTTGACAATCATGTTGTGTAGAAAATTACAGATCTTCATTCATATTCCTTTTTACGTTCTCTTTTCTAATTTTTACAGCTCGACCAGAGTTTATTTCTCGAAATAAATCGACGTAGATCGCTATTCACACATCTGTAGAGGCGCAAAATATATGTTAGTGTTATACAATTTTTAAACATAGTATTTGATAGTACAATACTATCAGCACAAAATGATGATCTAAAAAAAAAAAAGATATATTTACTTGAGTACACTTCGGTCTCTCTTGTAATATTGCTCGGCAATCAGAGGAGTTCCGCAGCTCATTAAAAAACTTTTTTTACAGTCACAATTGTACACAGCACACAAAATTAATTCCTCGCGGAAGCGCGAACGACCGCGATGAAATTGCGCTTGTAAAGCTTGCCGACTACCAGCAAATGCGTGATGCTAATCATGTATCAACGGAAAAACATCCGATACTTTACGTCCTATACTCACGTGTTTGCGCGCGAGATGAAAATTGCGAAAAATCTGAACTAAAATTCGAAACAACAATTCTTTTCGCGTCGCGCGTCTCGTACGATCGCGAAGCAATTTCACCGTATACTCGCCGATTGCTAGCGATTACGCAATACTAATTACGTATCACCGCGAAAGGTTGATTTCGTCATTATAATTGATAATTGCACGCGAAACGATAGTTGCAAACAATACGGGAACAACCGAACAAGTCGAAAGTAACTCCGAAACATAAACTGCCCGTTAATTCGAGTATATCGAAACGCGCGGTACTTCGATAATCGAAACATCGAAAATTGAGAATCGCGCGGCAAAGAATCAACCAATCGCGGAAAGATATTTTTATTCACCGGGTTGGTGGCTCGTATACGCGCAGTTGATCTGTGCAGAACGTAGACATTGGCGTTTGCCACAGATGAAAAATTAAATGATAACAATTAAAAAAATACACCTGCTCTCTCTTTTTTCTCTCTGGTGTTAACAACAGATGTAATTTTCGTCTGCTTTTCACGCAGATTCGAATACCAATCCGAATGAATACTTATCGATAGTGAGGTAAATGTATTTTACACATATCCAAAGCGAATGACATTTGTTAATTATTTGTTGTATGCAAAAATAGTATTTATTGTAACAGAACTATGTACATAATACGTATGTGTTTAGACATACACGTAACAATGTATTGTGTGAGGAAGATCTCTCGAATCTTTTGAATTTGTGTAGGTATAAAATAGTCTATACACATTTTTGATATACAGGGTGTCCCAGAATTGCCGTACAATCTCTCGTAGGCAGGTAGAAGGAGTAAAACTGAGTCGAAAAGTCCTGAACCATTTTTTTCTATTATTTATAATAAAGGAGTAATTATTGAGTAAATCAGGCCAATCAGCGCAGAC